CAATTAACGTATTTTTATCTACTTTTACATACTTTTATCTATTCATATAGGTAATTATATGTATGTCCGTGACACAAAAGGGCCAACACGACTCCGAGTTCTTCAATCTCGTCATGACTTTCCAGCTGCGGGACATTTTGGATTCAATAAGACCTTGGAACTTATTTTCCACGATTTCTGGTGGCCTCAAATGTGGAAGGATGTGAAAGATTTTGTTGTATCTTGTGACATTTGTTCAAGATCCAAAAACCCTCGACATCGGCCTTATGGACTTCTACAGCCATTGCCTATTCCGCGCCGACCATGGTCTTCGGTTTCCATGGACTTTATTACGGATCTACTACCATCGAATTCATTTGACAGCATTTTTGTTGTCGTAGACCGGCTTACAAAGATGGCACATTTTGTCCCTTGCAAGAAGACATCGTCAAGCGAAGACACAGCAAGACTCTTTCTTGATAATGTGTATCGATATCATGGTCTACCAGATGATATCGTATCGGATCGAGGAACCCAGTTTGTGTCAAAGTTTTGGAAATCTCTTTTTGAAATATTGAAGGTGGATATCAAGCTTTCTTCAGCATTTCATCCTCAAACGGACGGCCAAACAGAATGGTTGAATCAAGTTTTAGAGCAATATTTACGTTGCGCCATCAATTATCAACAAGATGATTGGGTCACATATCTACCGCTAGCCGAGTTCGCATATAACAACACCCTCCATGCGTCAACTCAACAAACGCCATTCTTTTTCAATTATGGATACCATCCGAAGCTTGACTTATGGAGTTTGTCAACGATTAACAATCCGGCAGCTGAAGGATTGGTGAAGGAGCTTTCACAGCTTCAAACTACATTGAAGCTTCAATTGCAAACTGCCCAAGAATCTTACAAGGCATCCGCGGACAAATTTCAGAATCAGGCACCTAAATTCACGATTGGAGACAAAGTTTGGCTGCTTCGACGAAATATTAAGACCAAGCGGCCATGTGACAAATTGGACCATCGGAGATTGGGACCATTTGTTATCCAGAAGCAGATCAATCCTGTAGCGTATCGTCTGGAGTTACCAGCTACTATGAAGGTACATCCTGTCTTTCATGTTTCTTTGTTGGAGCCTTATCGAGAATCGTCTTTTCCTGGAAGAGTACAATGTCTACCACCTAGCATAGAAATAGAGAACCACGAAGAATACGAGGTGGAAAAGGTCTAGGATTCACGGCAAAGACGGGATAAATTAGAATACTTTGTGCATTGGAGCGGTTACGATATTAATGAACAAACATGGGAGCCGGCCGAAAATCTCGCGAATGCACCACAAAAGGTACAGGAGTTTCATCGACGATATCTTGAGAAACCCAAGCCGGTTCGACGATAGCTTCTTACTGAAGCTTGCTCATCCAGAAAACAGAAAAGAGGAGAGAGCACCACCAAAATCCATAGTTGATGTAGTCATTCTCTCCAAGATAGCGTAGAACTTTGTTAGTAGCCCAAGTTTGTTCTTATTCTTTTAGCCTTTGAATATGGATAGCCAAGATACTACACTTGTCATGTCATCTCAAGCAACTAGCTCACGAAGACGACCGCGAGATGAAGAACCGCCTTCACCACGACGACGTCGAAGGATTCCAAGCAACAGATCGCTGGTGATTGTATTTGAGGTCGAGCCTGCCTACAATGATCAGCCAGAAGGAGTGTTTGTAGGACAATTTCACAATGAAGACACGGAGGTTCATGCTTGGTCAGAAGTTGAAGGCGTGGGCCACTACCGTTGGCTTCAAGGACCATTGAATCACTTGCCTCGTGAACAACAATTGTAGTTCATAGCAGAGGTTATGCGACAGATCTTCATTTTCTTGCATTGGTATTGACTGACGATAACATTGCTTCTCGGAGACCTCGAAGCTAAAGAAGGAGGTGATGTTAGGGACATAGTCCTTAAACCTTTCTAGAGACAAGTTTCTAGAACCTTCTAGAAAGAAGTCTTTAGAAAATTCCAGAAGATTCCTTGAATATTCTATTAGAATATTCTTCAAAGATTCTCTAAAGATTCTTTGAAGATTCCCTAAAGATTCCCTTAGAAGGCTCTAGAAGATTCTTAGAATATTCTAGTAGATTCTAGGAAGTTACTTGAGAAGCTTCCTAGCTCTTGGATAGTTGCTCGAGAAGCTTCATAGTTCTTGGAAAGCTTCTTGATGCGCTTCCCTAGAACCATAGGCCAGTAGTATATATAGGAGTCGAGGCTGAAGAGTTCTTCAGTCTCGACAACACATCTCTTGGAGTTCTAGCTCACCTTTCTGGTGTTGTTCTTGTACTCATCTGTTCAATCTAGTTCTGCCACTTCTTCTTGAACTTCTTATTAGATTTCAAGTCTGTATTTTGTGTCCGTGACAATAGGACATTGCCATGTAGCTCCTAATTAAGAGTATATATGGAGGTAAGAGTGAAGCCTTCTCTACTCTTGTCAATACCTTTCTAGTCCTTAGTCTTGTTTCAAGACTTTTTAGTCTTTTTATTTTTGGCAATAGCCATTCTAGTTCAATATTATATCATCTTTGAGTGACTTTCTAATTCTTTTTAGTGACATAAGAGTATATTGAGGATTTTCTTTCTTCAAGATTTATGTCTTTGACAAATGGTAACAAAAAAAGAGAGATGAATTATCTATAGTTAGATACAAAATAAAATAGTATAGATGCAATAATAACTATAAGATTGCTCATTATCTATGTAGATTTGTATTATTGTTGAATAGGTAGTTATTTTCAGAATGTAGATATCTAATGTATAGTATAAACAATGATAGATAACTATTGAAAAGGTGGTTCAACAGGTAGAATGGATGAATAGTCACGAAAAGTAATTATCATTCGTAATATAGGAGTTGGTATCTCGGGGTAGTATAAGGAAGATGGGAGAGAGGAAGAAAAGGCCAAACTGATAATACTGAGCCGGGATAAGTTTGGTGCTATCTCTTCTTCTTAGTTTTTTTGTTTCTTTTATGTTAGTATTGATTCTAATGAAGAGAATCGATTTAATGAATCAATATTTGATTTACGAAGTTATTTATGGATCATTGTTTATCAATTGTTATGAAAGATTGATGATGTATGGAAGTTTCCAATCACTGTTTATTGCAAGGTTGTGAGTTCAGTGGAGAAGAATTGTAACCAAAGGAATTGTCTCGATGAAATTTTGTGGATTGGAAGTTATTCGTTCCAGGGTTTGGATTATGCTTGTGTGTTTGTGAATTACACAGGGTACTGAAATTGATGTCGTGGTTGTTATCATATTGATATGAGAGAGTGGACAATAGGATGAAAAGTTAAGTGTTCTTCGGTATTGTAAGCATTCAGCAGTAGCAGTTAATTGTGTGATCCTAACAATTGGAGCTAATATACATGGTCTTTCCCTGTATTCAAATTCCCCTATACGAGTTTATTCTGGGAGGTTTCTTCCGGAATAAGTAAAATGATAATCACAATTATCATAAACATTCATTACTAGGGTTTTATCAAAGTATTCAAAATCTAAGTTTGAGAATAAAAAGAGAGGAGGAAAAAAAATAAGTTTGAGGCTCATGGATAACTTACAATTCAGACATGAAATTTAAATATAAAGAATAAATACCATGTAATAGCCATCAATATTAAAGTTTCAACATCTACAATGCAATAAAAAATAATATGCATATCACTAGAATATAAAATTTTTGATGAATCTTATACTAATAAAATCCAATTAGACTTTATCAAGTCTATACAAGCACAAATAAACATTGCAGGTAGTCTATAAGGTCCTCAGGCATTATAATACATTTTGACCAATTTAAAGATAAGAACATCAATTGTTTGAATAATTATTACTACAAGCCAACTGATAAAATTGCAATGTGCTATCACCACTAACAATAAAGCAAGTTACAAAAAAACCAAAATTTAAATTATTCTAGCTTATAACTACGAAATATGAATCTCATTCAATATATGCATATAGGATATTAAAATAAAAACAAAAAAAGGACTAAAATAGCTACTAAGTGTAGAAGTTAGGACTATAGTCCTTAGGATGCAAGTTCCACATTGCCTTGTGATCTATTCTAGCAAATGATGTGAGTATTGACAAAGATTGAATATGCAAAAGATAAAAATTAAGAAAATGTTGCGTTACAAGCAATATATATATATATATATATATATGAGTAAATCTGAATAGACCTAAGTAGACCTGAGCTACAAAGTAAGAGCAAGGCAATGAAATTTACAAGTAGATTAGAATAGAACTAAGTAGATCTAAGCGACATACTAAGAGCAAGGCAATAAAATTGTTTTGAGTTGAGTCTCTTGCTCTCTTTTAAATAAGTAATTAGAATTTTTTTAGGAAAGCATTTGAAAATGGAGGCAACTATAATTATAACAATAATGGAAAATATAATAATTATAATAAATATCCTTGGTTTTCATTGGTTATAGATATAATAATAGAAAAATAAATCTAAAAGTAATTATTTTTTCATAATTATGATGATAGGTAGGTTACTTTAATAAAAGATAAGATCTATTTAATATTTTTATTTCTATTTATATATTATATTTAATTATTTATTAAATAATGACTTATTTTTTGAGAATTAATTATGCAATTTTAGAAAAAAATTCATAAAAGTCTCTTTAAGTTTTGGAAAGAATTTTTTTTTTTTTTTTTTTTTTTTTTTGATTCTTTGATGGGTCGGACAGAGTACTCTGCAGATGCTCGGTAATCGATTTTGTCTTGTCCCTCGACTGGACTTCGTAGTGATGTATCGACCAGCTCGGCCAGGGCTAGGATCAGCTTTTGCTGACTCATCCCACCGGTCTAGATTACTTCATCATGTAAGTTGGTGAAATCATCTGTCGGAATGATGTGGGGTGCATCGGTGTTTACAGAATTGGCTGATTACGGTTTAGGGTGTATGCGTTGGAGTTACTTTGACAGGAACAGTTGTTGTGATCTGCTTATGTGTCGAGAATGGTGCGGCCTTGAGTTCATGGACGAGAATGGCGGTTGGACATGTCTGCAGCCTTAGAATTGATGAGAGTGGGGCCCGAATCATGAAGGTTGGTAGCTAGCCAGAAACAAGCTGGCTACGCTTGAGCAGCGGACGAGTTATTGTTGAGACCTGGTGAAGTTTCTCGTCTGCATGACATGTGCAGCAAACTGAGTTGCAGACTTTGGCACGCAATGCAGGTGCAACTGCTAGTTGCAGAAGACCTGGTACTACACGCAGAGTTGAGAAGTTGAGGTTGCTGCGCAGACCTGCTTTACCACTCATCTAGTCCTCTTAGCTGCACTTGGTCATCATCGACAAGCCAATTTGCCGGAATCAAATCCTCGAGACCAAACCACAGCGCTACACACGCCCGGCAAGAGACCGAAATCAGTGTGTAAGGTTACAACTGCCAATTTTAGTGATTAACTCCGGCATTGGGCACATGCATTGCCTTCCCTGAATTGTATAGCAATGTCGGCTAATTTTGGATACAAACAACGCGTCGTTTTGTGGCACTTGTGCTCATTTTTGCAGGCTCGCTGAATGTGACACTGGTCTCGAGGATAGCGCGTCTCCTGGTTCTACGTGAATAGAAAAGAATTTGATAACTGCCAACTGATGGATTACTGCAAGAAGTATGTCGATGACGTGCTCCTTCAAGTCGGAATGCTGGTGTCAGCAGCAGTTGCCGCTATGTCCTGGTGCCTTTCCAATTCTGCTAACGCCACTCTGTCCACCTACATAACATGCCTGCTCCCGGCGCTTCTCATCATTGTTCCAGATTGGACATACTTCATGCGCGGACCCGGAGATTGGTCGGATGTCGTGTTCGTGGAGCCGGTGGTAGGTTCAACGAAGCAGATCCGGAGGCTCGAGTTCGAGCGAGATATGGAGCTGATAGCCAACGGGACTTGGCAGCTGCAGGATTCCCGCCCCCGCCGTTTTCGATGACAGTGAAATCGAAAGTTGAGCAAATAAATCTCGCTTAAACACTTTCAGTGTCTTGCAAGTTTTTCAGTAACCAAGTGACGGAGTAGAATTATCCTAAACGAGATGAGGTTTGGGGTTTCCACTTCACTTGCTGTGCTGTTGTTTGTGAATTCAGTGAGCTCATTCTATGATCTTATCTGTCTTCGAACAACTGAATACAAGCCTTATCAGGCTGTGGGTCAGTAGAAATCCTACGACCACGTCCATGAAAAAAATATTACAGATTTAAAAGTATTTCAATTCTCTCCTCCAGACTCATTCTTGACCAGCTTTCTCTGGCTCCAAAAAAATTCCTTCCTCCAATTATTCAAGGACCGGATAACCCGCTCCAAAGCTTAAGTTCAAATAGTCACCACACAGACACCGAAACTATTGACTCTTTCCTTCGAATGAATGGTGAAAATTTTCACTGTTGTGGAGGTATTCTCGACCCGCCTCCAAATGTTATGTTCATGCTGTTCATCCAGGCTAAGTCGGGGATAACAACAACCTCAGTCCTCAGAAGGACATCGGCATTGAAATAATGCACTTCGACAAGCTTCACACACAGAACGAGGAATTGACTAATTTGATGTCTTCCGGTTCGTCAAGGTAGGCAAAGTTGGAGTCACAAGAACAATGGTAATTCTCAATCCACTGTGCAGTTGGAAAGTATCTTTGAGTTTCAGTTCCTATAACTTGTTGCTGGCAAGAGATTAAAGTTTAATGGCTAAATCACAAAAGGTGTATATGGATTCTACACCTTTTGGTCCCACTGTGCAGAATAGCTCAACCTTATTAATCTTACATCAAGACTTCAAGAGTTTGGCGGTGTCACGGACCGACTGGGAACAGTGTGGATGATAATACTTGCCAAATACATGTGCTTGTCAAAAGCAATATCTCGGACTTATTGTGCTTGGATTCTATACCTTTCATGTATGTATGTCTATCCTACCAGCTTGGTTAAACAAAGTGATTAGCAATGATTTTTTTTAAGAATGAATATTTTATGTTTAAAATATCTTTATAAGTTTTTAATTTCCTCTTTCTCTAATTCTTTTTAATAACTAGTTTTGCTTTTAATTCATGTTTACATTTAAAATTTTCATACTTTCTAGAATCTTGTTTTACTTGAATCGTGTTCAAAATATGTTAACTAAATTATCATTACATTGTCATTTAATTGTGATGTTAAGTTTTAATCAATAATTTAATAATTTTATTATAAATAATCTATGAAGAATTTATATTCTTCCAAAGATTGAGGATTAAATTTTTTTAAAAAATCTATTTTAATATCCCAAGTTACAACTGTTTTTAGTGACATATGACTTTTCATCACCTTAAAATAATTAAAATGAGTTTCATTTGAAATTTTTGGTTATTTTAAATTTTTATCATGAGTATTAATCTTTTTTATTTTATTTTTTCATCAAAAAATTTAAGATATTTAGGCATCATTCTTGTGTCAGACTTGACTATCTCTATCTCGATCTCTATCTCTATCTTGACTAAAAGAATATTTATAGTATTTAAATTTAAGCTTTACTTGTATAATAAATGCTTTTGTAACCAAAAAATTTGACAACTTGTGATTTTTTTTGTCAGATTAATATAGTCAAATCTTTCTCTCTTTATGATTTAAGTATGTAAATAAAAACATTTGATCAATGAAAAAAATATTTTGGGTAAATCAATTCAAAAATCCATTAAGATTTTTAATAAATGTAATAGAAATAATTTTTTAAATATATAAAATGATTATTTCTTATAAATTTTTTTAAAATTATTTTACAATTAAATTAAAGTTAAATTAAAATTAATATTATTCTATAAATATATATTTATATATATATATATATTATAAAATAAATAAGATAAAAAATAAAAAATAAAAATAAAGCAAGCATAGAAATAAATTATCATTTTTAGAATTCAATTATTTTACCAATTAAAAAAATTAAAGTATATATATAATTATAGCATCATTTTTGAGTTATCTTTGATTAGATTTTATTTTTATTAAGTTAATTTTACAAAGTGAAATATATGTAAACATATGAGATAAATTTTTGTACTTAAAACATCCAATACCTTGAGTGAAAATGCTCATTACTACAAAGGTAGACACAGTAAAAAATGATGATTAAAAAAAATGTTTCCAAATAACATTTCAATTATTATATTGAATCTAAAATAGTACTTATGTATATAATTTTTAAAAATAATATTAAATTATAAATTTTAAAACTATTCAATAGAAGTTAAAAATATTTATACTTAATTCAAAATAATATCTTTCTTTTAAAAGAACTATAATTATATCAAATAAGGTTTTGAATCTTTGTTTATATTTTAGCTAATAAAAATATAAAATAGATGTCATAATTTTTTATATAATTTAATAAAAATACAAATATTTAAGAAACAAGTATATTGCAAGATTATTGGAAGAAAAAAATAAAAATAAAAATAAATCTTTATAATTGAACTCTACTACTTATGGTATTTTAGAAAAAATATTTAAATTTTTATTTAATATAAGTACATCATGAATGGTCAATTTTTTTATAAAGAGATTGAATTTGAGCTTTTATGTGGGATTTAAATTGTACTAAAAATTGACAAAGTAACTTCTTAAAAGATTTGGTGAAATTAGATAAAATATTGTTGCTATTGTCATATATGGCTTGTATGCTAAAATATTTATAATAAAAATAAATCTTATTATTACAGAGAATTGATAAAAAAAAAATAATAATAAAAATTTGTGCAAAAAAAATAAAGTCATGTCATCTACAATTGTTAAGATGTATCTTTTGAACCTTAAGACAAATACTAAATTCTAAATTAAAAATCAACATCATTATATTAAAGACATAACATTAAGACTATTATTATCTTTTAGGAGAACTAGATTAAAACTTCTTATTGAAAAATATTATTAAAAAAACTTCTTAAATGAATGTGAGTCACTTTTTGTTTTTTAAAAATCTAATAAAAATATTATATTTTATTTTATCTTATCTTATTTTAATGCCAATGTTAGCTATATCTTGTTAGTCATGTATATACATAGTGCTCAATCTAGTTTAAAAAAAAATACCTTTCTTAGTTAGTTGGGTTATTCATAAGACCTCTATTTTTTCTTAGATTACTCTTTTAGATTGGTGAAGTTAAAAATAAATCTCCTTTGACTAAAGCCTCTTAATATTAGCTTCTCAAATAGAAAATTTTTATTAAACTTAAATCTAGGATGCATGTATCAGCAAATCAAGAAAAAAGTGGTCTATTGCCTTGGCAATTGGATTATCTAACTTTAGAGGAGTGGTTCTCAATGCTTAACAATTGGCTTATTATATTGTTCTTACAATGTTTCATTGTAAGAAGTCAATAATTATTAAATTAAAAGCTATAAAGAGATTAGAGAAATTTTTTAAATGAAATAAGGTCCTTAAGCTAGTAGCATATTCAAAAGCAATGACATGCTACTTCTCTTTGTTACATAGTTATTTTTGTTGTCTTTTTTACACTATTTATTTTAATTTATTTTATAATATTTTCTTTTCTTTTCTTTTTCTAATTATTTTCTTTTCTTCAATAATTCTTAAGCATCTGTAGTGATATAATTTTCTTATTAGTAGATTGCATAAATTTTCTTAAATTTAGACCAATAAAGTACAAACAATAGAAAATAGGTTAGAAATTTTCAACTTATATGAGAACCAAATCAATAGTTTTAAGACAATAATAGAGAAGTGAGAGATATCCACCCTAATTAAGAACCAAAGAACTTAAAGTCCAATTTAGAAAAAATTAGGTCAAAAAAGTATGTAGTTGCTAAAAAAATAGTGCTTGCCATCTATAATTAAGTTAAAATAAGTAACCACAAAGGCCAATGATTACAAGGGCGTGGAAAAAGAAAGAGAAATCAAATAGTATCAAGTACTAAATGTAAGGCCAAAAGTATTATCATTATTGGTGTTGATGCAATAGTTCTTTTTAAAATAATTATAAGTATAAGTTACATTCTAATACACTATTTTATCTCTCTTTTATTTTTTGTTTTAAATTTAGTCCTTACAACATCTATTAAATTTGAGTTGTATGCAATTCAACTCAAACTTGTAGTTTAAGCATAATTTCTTTTAACATAAATTCTAACTATAATTTTTTAACTTCAATACAAAGAAGAGTGTTTTTAGATTGATACTTGGAGATCAATTTTCGACAAAAACAACTATCATCTAGTATAAATTTAAGGTGACTAAAAGTCTTCTCTAAACAAAAATTGAGTCTAGAAAAAAGCTTTTAATCTATAAGATTTTACACCTACTTATGTCTAAAGTATTAGAATTAAGACTTTAGATCTACTAAAAAAATGTTACATTTTATTTTATAATAATGAAATGCACTCATCTAGATAGTTCTATTCATTGATTTTTTATTAGATTAATATAAAATCTGAGATTAAAAAAAACTTGAGCTAAATTGAAGCTTTAAAAAAATTATTTATCTTTTGGTTTTGCTGTTATATTGCAGAAGTCTAAATCTTACAAAATTTAAAAGAAATGGGCTTACATTAAAGTCAGTATATAATTTTTGGTCTTGGTTAATTACTTCTAATGATTGTGTTTCTTTAATAAAAAATTTTAATTATTAAAGAGTCTTTTGATTTTTTTTAATAGGTAACATAATTGCCATCATAATAAGTATTAAATTTTATTTTTTTGTTAAAATTTTCATTAATAAAACATATTAACATTCTAATGTATTAAATTTCTTTTACAAAGAAAAATCATAGTTTTTAATATATATTAGAAATTTACAAAACAAATGCAAGATAGAAAGGTAAAAAAGATTTTTTTTAACAAAAATAAAAAATTACTAAAAGAAAAATATTATTGGTAAAAATTACTATTAGATATTTGTTATTATTATAATTTAAAACTTCGCATTTTTAAAAACTAAAAAAAATAAAAAAATCATTCATAAAAATCTAAATATCTATAAATAAAGATAGCATTAAAATATTCTCAAAGAAGCAAGCTCTATTCAAAAATCACATATAAAAGATCAATTTTTAGAATTTATTTATGGCTAATTTTAATTTTTTTTTTAAATTAAATATTAGTATCTAATAAAAAATTATAACTACATTGTACTTATATTATTTGTACATTCAACTTATTTGGTGTCACATTAGAATAGAAAAAAAAAAAAAAAAAAAAAAAAAAAAAACTTTTAATAGATATTTTTTTAGTATTTTATATTTTATCTTATTTTAAAAAAAATAAAAAGAAAGAAATTGGTGTGATATGTTATTCTAAATAAAAAATAAAAATTGTGTAAATTAAAAAATTACTTAATTAATTAATCAATTAAAAACATTTTTTATAATTTAGACTTTAACATAGTTTTGATTGTTAAAACAGAAAGATATTTTTGTCTTCTAAGAAGAAAGAAAGGTATGACAAGAGAAGAAGTTTTTAGGACTAAAGTATATATTTATAAATTAGAATATTCAATCTTACAAAAACATATTATCCTACAAACTCTTTATTATATATAAAGAATTATGTACACAAATATATAAACATCTATCTATCTATCCAAATATGCATGGACATCCATTAACATGAATATATATATATATATATTCATTAAAATATACAAATAAATGTACAAATATGTATACACATAAATATATGCATTTGAGAGATAACTAACCAATCTAATCAGGCTACTATTTTTTACTCTATTTCTCTCAAACTTTTATAACAATCTAACCAGTCCATATTTGATAGAAACTTGGCATAAATACATATCATTTTGTAACATGTTACAAATGCACGTATTGTTATAAATAAACACATTAACAGGAACATGCCCCACTATGCTTTTTTCACGTCTTCATCTGGCTAGAGATACGGTAGAACAGCTCCAAAACTTGGCTGGAAAGAATAACTTAAAGGGTTCAAACTGTACAAAAGGGTTTTGTTGCCGAGTGGAGGAGGAGTTGGTAAGCACTGGTAGTGAGAAATGTTGACTGCCTCCTCACTCATATCATACACATCTCCAGTTCGCTGAACTGTGTTGAAGATGCAGAGTTTGTTTTCCTGCACTGGGACACATGTGAATTCTGGATACACTAATAAAGCTCGGGTTCCTCGTCTCGATAGTGTAAGTCTCCTGGTCCATGAGTATGTTTCTTCGATCCCCAAGTCAAGCCTGTCGATGCAGTGGGTGACAGTCCCGCTAATCTCTTGCTCGGAGAAAAGGTAGATGAAGCCGTTGCACTCCACAAGCTGGGCAATAGAGAAGTGAATTGTCAAGTCAGTGTGCATACGGCGTAACCTGAAAAATGGACAATGCCAGTGTGCTCGCCACTTGTTTGTTCCCACATCGAAAGCCAGAATTCCTTTACTTTTGTCCACCATGAATCCTGTGCACAGCAACAACTTTTGCGTCTCGCAGTAGACTCCAGTCTGATAATCGTTCAAGGAGAACTCCTCACCCGGGACATCCCCAACAACTTCCCATCGTCTTTTGACTGAGCAGTACACCTCTGTTTTTTTAGAAAGGTGTCCTTTTCCAACTGCCGCACTTCCTACTGCGATCACTCGAAAATCTGGTCTTCCAGGTGTAGTTACCTGCAGGGATATGACAACAGGGTGGCGCCGATAGTTTAGAGGAGGCAGTTGTTGCGCTTCTCCTGTTAGGGGGTTGAAGATGTATAGCTTCTCGGGTTCAGAAGCCTTGCCCATATTCGCACAAATGAGACTATGATGACCAGCAACTAAAAAGTCTTTGAACAGTTCAGGATCCGGCGCTGGAATCCGGTCGGTGAACGGGGGTAACTTGCACCAACTGCGACACTTCCAATCAAATCCCCACAAGTGCCACAACTTCTTTTCCACACAAAACAGCAAAGGACCGAGAGTGCACTCAATTGGGCGAAGACGAGGGCGCAGTTGCTTGAAGCTGTCGCGTAATAGTACATCCCGGAAGCTCTTGCAAACTCGGGCGGCCTTGAACAGTTCGGTGAGATCCAAATGGGCCAGAATCAAACCTTGTATATCTGGAGGTAAGGAGTTCCAAGTTTGCCCAATATCAAGGTCATTGGGAGATATCCAACTCATCTACTTCAATGTTTTCCTTCTTATCTGCAATCAAATAGCAACCAAACAATTAATTCGCAAAGGCGAATCACAGACATGAATACATGAATAAACTACAAGCGCAAAGAAAATGAGCTCTAGTACATTAACATGATACTTCAAAGGATTTTTCCAAGAGTTGAAAAAGCCAAAATCAAAGGACTTTTCTATGCAGAAAATTCTCGCTTGAATCGTTCTTACATAGAGTAGCTTCCGGTCGAGAGCTGGAAGCAACATAGTGAAGTCCTTGCACTGGAACTTGTGATCCTGTTGTCACGAATGTCTTACGCTCTTCAGTAGGTCCGGACGATTTGCAACACATCCTCAAAACTCGCAAAGGAAAGGCGTCTTACAGACATTAATACGTAAAACTTGTAAAAGACTGCAAGATGAGAATTAGTACAGACAATCTTACTCTCTGAAATCCTCATTTCGCAAACACGCTGTCAGTGTGTCCACCACATCAAAGAATTCTGATTCAATCTGTTAGCTTCACTGTCAAGGTAATGGTGAATACCTAAACAGAGAATTTTATTTAATACCTTTCTTGTGAAAATGTTAAAGCAACGTGCAGACGACGTCAAACCCAGAGGCCCTGTCCCTATTTGCACAGATGAGACCATGATACCTCACAACCAGAAAGCCCTTATACAAGTCAGGATCCAGTGCTGGAATCGGGTCTGTGAACGGGAATAACTTGCTCCATCTGTAATCCTTCCAATCCAACCCTCACAAGTGCCACAAAACTTCTTCTCTTCATAAAACATTTAAAGACTAAGAAAGCATTTCCGTTCGACAATGAGCGAGCTCTTGCTTGAAGCTGACGCAGATTATTAGATCCCAGAAGCTTTTGCAAACTCGAAGAACCTTGAAGAATTCAGTTAAGTCTAAACAAGTCAGAATCAAATCTTGTATTTCTAGAGGTAGGCAGTTCCAAGTTCGCCAAGTTCACTTGTAGACATCCCAACTAAATCGACTTCAGTGTTCTCTTTGTAACCTGCAATCGGTCAGCAACCAAATCATTAATTCATGGAAGTAAGGAGCTCCAAAGCCTCGCAAAGGAAAGACGACTCATAGACATCAATACATGCGGCTGCAAAAAGACTACAAGCTCAACTGAATTAACCAAGTATTGGAATCGAGAATGAAATCATCATTTAACGAACAAAGTCATGTTGGTTCTGAAACAGCGACCATAATCAAGGTACTTTCCATTGCACTTACGTGCTCAACATATTCTTTGAAGGACAGTTTCTGTCCGTTGATTGCTTGCAGCAACACAGCTCAGAAGTCCTTACACAAACACTTGTTGAGAATGAACTACGCTCTTCAGCGGCTACGAACGAATAGTAATACTGTTTTACTCTCAATTTTCTTTTCTCGCATTTACTCTAAAATGCGGGTTACTTGAATACAAAGGGTAAGATGAGATTCGCATACAGTCAAACGGACAGCAGACTCCGTGCTGTCTGAAATTGAAGTGTTTGTTTTCGAAGTCCCCAATTCGCCGACAAGCTGCAGTGGACCCTCCTCATCAAAAAATTCTGATCCAATATGTCAGCCTCACGCTCCAGGTAATGGTAACTCGGATCAAGCTAGAGAACAATTTATACCAATTTTTGAAATATTTTTCTTGTGCCTATGTCACCTGAAAACTAGACAAATCAAGCGTCCTTGCCACTCGCTCGTCCCCACATCGTGTTCCTTCTCTGCCGTCCACCGTAAAGCAACACAGCTCAGTAATCCGCAGGCACGGACAAACCACTGTATTAAACATGGATTAAACAAAAAATATTTCCGTGTCGAAAAATGGAAACAAGCAAGCAAACAAATGAGAAGAATTACGCCGTGTGACCATCAAAGAAAATTTCTATGTATAAAATTAAAATAGGTTATTAAAAAACAAATAATAGAAGTTTAAAACTATATTTGTAATAAAAAAAACTATAGAAAAAACAAAAGAATCATAAATATAGATAGATTAATCAATAGAGTCTTAGAAAAACAATAGATACAATTATTAAAAATCAAAAATTTTAAAAAAAAATCAACTACAAGCTACATTGATATCTATAATTAATGTGTAAATTTAAATAGTATGTATTTTTAATTAATATAATATATACTATTCATATGATACAAGCTCTTTAGCTATGATCTGTAGTATTCAAAGAATAATATCACTTTGAGGTAAAGATCCAAAAAGATGTGGATTCAAATTCCATTATTGATATCTTTGTATTTTCTTCCACTTAACACACTTTGTCAATATTTCTTCAAACAAACTCTATGCATTGCTTCTTTTTTCACATGTTGAATTATTCCAATGTTATTATGGATTAATAAGAAGTCCATTTTTGCATTCTTAAGTTTGTACTCCCCAATTGTCTCCAAAGTCAATTTCAATGACAATGCTCTACACAAGTCTATTTGAGTCATTTTTGGTATTAGCTAATCAAACTGTTGCAAAGATATATTGGTAGACAAAATATTCTACAAGTTTTATATTTCTTTCTATTGTCACATGCTTCATATTCAAGTTTCTTATATATATGCTTAAGTCTATATGATTTATATAACGACCATTTTTTTTCAAATTTATCTAAAAATAATCCTTATGTACCTTATTCTTATCTATATTCCATCTAAATTAATACAATTCTTTCAAAGATATGATACTAGGAAAGAAAACACTAACAAAAAAACCTCTACATGCATGAGACACCTTTATGTAATACCACCCTATTGCCTCCTCTAATAAAGGTTTGTTAGTAACACTAAATTTTCATCATGTACTTCAAGAAGATCCATCTAAATCTGAAACCCTTGCAAAACTTTTTAAATAAATTGGAATTTTAGAAACCTTCTTAAGTTTTAGTAATTGAAAAAATTAAAGTCTATCATGCTACATATGACAAAGAAGGTTGCAAGATATTCTTTTGTCATCTGTAGCATATACCAAAGCAAAATAATTCTAATAACATATTGACAACCAATATAATTTTCAATAATACATTAACAACTTTTACTAGAATTACACTTTATTGTGGCTAAATACAAATTTTACTTTGATGGTAAAATAGTACCATCTTTTTATGTATATAAATAAATTAATTAAATATATTAATTATTAATCGAAATATATATATATATATATATATATATATATACATACATATATATACTAGATACTTAGTCCTTGAAAATCCTTAGAAGAGGCAATGCTTCTTGATCATGCTTGATGACTAATTAGTGGGACTATTAGAGCAAAGGGCAACAATCCTCCTTAATCCCCTTGCAATTGTCGTGACTGTCAGATTCTAATTGCAATCCAATTGGTTATAGATTAGATTGTATTGTAGAATTTATTATTATTATTATTATTATTATTTACTATATTAATTATTTCTTGTTATACAAGATATTATCAATGGTATATAAATGTTCATTTATATTTCTCTTTTAGATACTAAAACTTATTAGTTTTTTTTTTTTTTTTTTTTTTTTTTTGTTGATTGTAAGGTGAATTTTGTCATAAAATCAAGCATGCTAGATGATTTGTACAAGTCACTTGGTATGTATATAAGTTCCAAAAAATTAAACAAAATTTAAATTTATTAAATTCTTACATGGTGTCACCAAGAAATGAATTGATGATCTATTTTATCTTAAAAATGAATGCTTCTACTCTTAATAGCTTAATAACATTATTAATATGTTTGTCAAAAAAGTTAGACATGATAAAAGATTTAATGTGGATTTGTTGAGATTGGCTATTGTTTAATTATCTTGCACTTGTAGTAACAACATAAATTTTATTTTTTTAATTTCTAGTAAATTTTTGTATTTTTTTCTTAGAACAAATGCAAAGACCTTTGACATGACATACAAGGCAGACTTGGAAGGCAAGTGATCTTACTAGTTAAATTATCTAAATTGAAAGAAATATAATTTTACAAATATTGCAAGATCTAAATACTATTAAAGTGTGAATTTGAATAGTATATAATACACTATTTAAACTATCATATTATTAGCATATTTTATCAATTAATATGATATACACTATAAATTATTCATTTATGTTCCAAAGGCTCTTTACAAATAGTATGATACATGCTAATTACAAATATTAATGTAGTTTTCTAAACCCGCTCAAATAAGAGAATGATTTATTGAAGGTAGTCATGGTAGATTGAATAGATTTTAGTGTAAGTGCAAGTATTTGAAAATGGCATCTTTAGAGCTAAGTCAATTTATTGCTTGAAATTACAACAACTTTTCTAAGATTATTTAAATCAATAGTATCTTAGTTTGCGTGCATTTATTTATAAGAGTTTTCATCTAGCCTTGAGTAGCAAAGTCACATGTTTTGTTGAATTTTTGGATAGTTTCTATATTGAATTTTGTATTAAGTGTGTCTTTGGAAGATTTTTTTGTATTTTAATTATAATTATTTTCTTTCTATCCATCTATCTTAATTGTTACTTATATAAAAAGTATCATAATTATTTAATGTTTTAATAATTATTAGAAAAATAAAAAAATATATTAAATACATATGAAAAAATTTAAAATAAAAAGATATAGTTTATATGACTCTTTTAACTTTAATATTTTTCTAATTATACCATAAATGGGACTCATTTGTCTATTTTACTCAATTTCACCTATACTCCTACATACTTCTTTTATATTAAATTTTAATTTATAAATTATATGTATTATATTTTTTAATTAAAATAATAATACCTAAATTTTCTTGACTTAGTAGTACTTATCACATTGATTATTTATAAAAAATAAAAACATGAAAAATACATATAATAAAAATATTATTCTCTATACTAATTTAAGATTTTTTCTATGCCTATGCTTATATTCACTCCTCTATATGATTCAACCATCAAGCATAAACACATTCCTCTATCAAAAAATTCAAATGCTTCTATAACAAAGAAATTGCATCTACAACTAATTAAATATCTCAAAACCATTAATGTGAATCTTACAAATAATTCTTCAATCTACATTTATATATTTTGAATAAAGAATTGATATTCTTTACTTTGATCACAAATCATTATAATATATTTAATCATTAGGTATTTTATTAAAAAAAAATATGTATAAAACTAATTAATAATGCCATAAAAAATTTAAATATGATTTATAAAAAATATAAGTTATTCAAAAAAATCATTCTTAAATTTTATTATAATATAAAATTACTATTTTATAAAGATACTTAACTTTATTTTATTTTCATTCAACTAATATTTAATTAACTAATATTTAATTTTTAATTGATATAAATTATAAATCACTTTTTTAGTAATAAAAAAATTAAACAAAACACTTCAAAAATAACCACTCAATTCTACAAAAACTACTCACATTAACTTGCATTCATATTGTAATCCATCCAATCTACTGTATCTTTACTAGACTACTTCTTAATCTAATTGAATTCACATAATTGTGTATTTATTCAAAGAAGCAAGCAAGGCATAGCAACCTTTATTGACTACAATGATGTTGCTACTTGTATCAACAAAAGTAATATACAAAACTCAATTTATTATATGTTCCATAAATCAATCAGCTATGTGACTTTATAATTCAAACCAATGTACAAATATTTATTAAGAAATACATACAAATCAAGCTACTACTAGTCCAAATTATCAACAAAATCTTGTTGCGATTTCAACCACTTAGTCAATTCAATTCTAAAGATGCTATTCTTAAATACTTGTCCTTACATTGTAATCTATTCAATCCAGTAGATCTTTATCAAACGACTATGTAGTTTAATCAAGTGCACATAATTGCCTATTTTCTAAAAAAAGAAAACTAAGTACAACAATGTTTATTGACTAATCTTATAATATTGTTATTTATACCAAAGAAAGGAATTTCATGAGGTGTGGGCATGCATGTAAGAGAGAAGGCATAGATCTTTCTATAATCACTAAGAAAAGCAAGTAATTATGTTTGAAACTGAATGAAGTTTTATTAGCTTGGATTTTATCATACTCAAGATGAAAATGAGATTGATAGTAAGTTACTATTTGTGAGACAAATGAAATACTAAAAAAGATATCCATTGATCTAAAAATGTATATATCATGAATAACTGTCATCATACCAAAA